TCTCTAAAATGAAAGCAGTCCTAGTTAATTAATGTGCGTGAAAGATCCGAAATTACATAACTCGATTTCAAACAGTTAAGCCCCAGAGTTGAACAAAGAGAGCGGGACATTTCCAGTACACGACCAAAGTTTCATTTCACAGAAAATGGGCTGCCTGAGCCCACAATGGTTCATACACCTAGCATCCTATCAATTAAACTTCCATAGCCAGGGCAGGAATTATTTAGGCCTCAGGTATCATGACAGTCCAACTTGATCAATGGGTGTGGGGGGGGGAGCTAATTTACAGAATTAATCATACTTGCATCAAACTCATAATTTCTAATTTTTGCACTCGCGATTGACATCATTTTTAAGCTATTGTAGCACTGATTTTAACACATAGCTCAATTCTCATTTGGTTTAGCACATAACTCACAATTGTTTGCTCATCCCAATTAGAATAGGAATGGTCTTACCTATAACTCACTCTAACGAATCACTTATCCAATAATGATTTAAATCACACATGGAGTCATGGATAATTTCCAATTCGAAACTAAACATACGTGACCTGGACTAACGTGAATATGCACCTGTTTGTTGTGATTTGCCTTTGATTTTTGGTGTGGCTAGCAATTAACTCGAACAGTGAAACTATTTGACACTATGGAATTGATTTCAACAGAAATGAGTTACATATTAGAGTTAACAGTCCATCAAAATTCAAAACAACTCAAATCGGTTAAATAACAATCCTAATTATACAGGTACCTACTGTCCACAAGTTACAAAACAGTACATAGCATGTTAATAATCCAACTAGTCCCTTACAAGCGCATTAATGCACAAATTTATCATACAAATCTTAAAGCTAAATGTATCATAATAAACTTAAAAAACAGTAAAGCTTTAATGAATGTCAAACAGCAATTGCCTTTCCATTCCACTGAAGAAATTACACCAAAACAGGTTCAAATGTGTGCCTGATTACAGCAACCAAAATAAGGACAAGTGAGCTTGCAGTTTAAGAAGAAAACAGCAGCAGCAGGACAGTAGCAAGCGCAGTGATCAGCAGCAGTTTTCAATCAATTTCCAACCCAGAAAAGTAAAATACCAGCCCAGGAATATACTTTCAAAACAAATGAACAAAAAGACCTTAACCTGTCTTGACTTCAACTTATTTCAACTATCAGCTAACCAAAAATTGTTTCAGTCTTAAGGAAACTTTAGAAACCACCAATCACTCAATGGAACAGTGTTACTCCTTAGAGTTCTCAGAATGTTCTCCTTTCAATCTTCTAAGCTCTCCAACACTCTTCCTTCAGGCTCCTCCCCGTGTGCTCTCTCTCTCAGGTTTTTTTCTCTTCCAGGTCCCCTCCTATTCTTTTTCATTCCCCCCTTCATTCTCAAGTCTGCCCTTCATTTTATACCCTAAGACAGACCCTTTTTCCAGCCTATTTTAAAACTTAGATCACTATGAAATGTATTTCTTCCATCATATTCCCTGACAGCCTCTACTAAGTGTCTAATTTCATTGTTTAGTTCAAAGGTGTATTGGCAATGCTATATTTTAACCAAGTCCTTTTAGGCCTCCCCATACCACTATGTTTTGTTCCCCTTTAACACTAAACAAATGCATTAGTTTAATGTTACATTAGTACTTACTGGACAAAACACTTAAACTAACCATTTTTAAACTTTTCAATTCCCAAATTACCCCTAAAACTACTGTGATTTACTGTCCTAGTTCAATCACTTTAAACCTGTATGAAACCTCAGCTATAGCCAATTTAAGCCTTTCAATTGACTAATGAAACTAACTCCCAATCAACAACATTAGGACAATTTCAACAAGGTTAGATTCACATCAGAATAAGCTTAACAGAACAAACAAGTAGATTCGAGTCAATAAACTTAATCAGCAATTGAACTCAAATCAAATCCAACAACATTTCAACCAAGATGGGGACCCAATGATTCAGGACAATAGTCAGACTGGACTATTAAGGTCAAGAAATTGATTCATACAGATGCATGAGAGTAAGCTATCTATATTGGGAACAAATACAATTCTAAATTCACCTCGAACAAAAATGTTGGAACAACAAGTATACTGGCTATGAGCCCTGAGGCAGAAAATACCAAGGTCGGTAGATAAAACAACAATCAATAACTTGAGAAGAACAACTGAACTATATACATGAACGGGTCAATCGACGAGACCATTTAATAAATTCAACATATGTCAATCGACCAAGATGAGAAAACTGGACCAGAAAAGGGTCTGAAAGAGGAGTAGAATTAATTGACAAACATAGCAATGAAACCTAATTAGGCAAATAACAAACAATAATCAAAGAAGAAAAAGAAAAAGAGGAGAAATACCTCAAAAATCAGAAACCCAAATGAACTCCGTTCTCATTGACACTTCATTTTGAAATTTTGAAGCCAAAATGGACCTTAATCAAGTGTTCTCGACTGAGAACACTCGACTAAAGTCAGTTAAGACCTCAAATCTTTAACTTCGTACATAGTCTGAAGTTTGGTTCTTCTAGGGTTTGCCTCGATTTGAGATTCGAAAGGTTCTAACAAGATTTGGGCAGAACCTGGATGGGATTTGGGACAGGGGTAGCTAGGTGGTTCAGTGGTGTAACTTTGGGACTGATTGGGTAGGTTTGAGGTTTGAGGTCTTGCCTTCGATCTGAGATTCGAAGCAATCAGCCGTGATTCGAGGGTGATGGTTAGATGGGTTAGGTTGGGGAGGTTCAGGTGAAGCTGGGGTGTGAACTTGGTGGTCATTGGACGGATTAGGGTTTTCTTCGATTCTTCGATCTAAGATTCGAAACGTTGGGTACTGATTCGATGAAAGCTGATACGTGATTTGGAAAGAGAATATCGTGGGGAGGCTATGGTGTAATTTTGGGGCTGTTTGGACCACCGGANGGGGGTATGGCTTTGGGGGGGCGGGGGTATGGTTTGGGCTTATATATGGGGGAAAGAGATTTGATCCTAGCCATTAGATCAATTGAGATCGACGGCTTGGATCAACTCACTTAAAGAGACGGTGTCATTTGGAGTAGTACTGGGGCGGTCTGGGTATCGGAGTGACGGGTCTGGGTCGGGTTGGGTCAAGGCTTCAGGACCGTTTGATCAAGTTAATTTCAATGGTCCAGATTGAAACGCCTGAAACGATGTCGTTTGGTTGAGGCTGGAGACGGGTCTGGGCTAGTTGGGCCAGTTACGAACGAGTTTGGACGGTTTTGTGTTTGGGCTGGGTATTTTTTGGCCCAGATCTTGTTTCCTCTCTTTTATTAATTCTCTCTTTATTTTCTTCCTAAATTATTTTCTAAAATTATAAACCAAGTTAACTTATTAAAATTACTAATTATCTTCTAATAACATTTATCACATATAATTAAATGCCAATTAACCATAAAATTACACAATTCAACATTTAAATGCTAAAACAAAAATGCAAAGTACATTTATTTTTTATGATTTCTCATTTTCGTAAAACAAGTTACTTAATTAATCCTATATGTAAAAATTAAATCCTAAATGCACATGCAACATGTAATTTTTCTGTATTTTTCATTAATCAAAACAAAATAAACATGCCCGGTCAAATACAGACAATTAACCAAAAACGCCAAGAAAAATTCTCAAAATTTCACACAAAGGAAAATTGTTTTATTTTGAAATTCTGGGAGTAATTCTCATAGGGAAAAAATCACGTACTCACATTGGTGATACCCTGAACGTAAATCATTTTTGAGAAGTACCTAGCACCCTGAAGTTGATCAAATAAATCATCTATTCTTGGTAGGGGTACTTATTTTTGATTGTGACTTTGTTGAGCTACAAGTAGTAAATACACATCCGTAACGACCCATCTTTCTTTCCTACAAAGAGAATTGGTGTGTCCCAAGGTAACACACTCGGTCGGATAAAGCCCTTGTCTAGCAAATCCTTCAATTGTTCCTTTAGCTCCTTCAATTATGTCGGTGCCATTCTGTAAGGTGGAATAGATATAGGCTACGTGCCTGGCATCACATCGATCCCAAAATCAATCTCCTTGTCTGGCGGAATCCTAGGGAGCTCATCAGGAAAGACCTCTAGAAATTCATTCACAACTGGCATAGACTCGAGTGTAAGTGTCTCAACATCGGTGTCCATAACCCGAACCAAATGGTAGATACACCCCTGCTAATCAACTTTGTGGCCTTAAGGTAAGAAATAAACCTACCCTTCGGCATCACATTATTCACCTTCCACTCAACAACTAGCTCATTTAGAAATTCAAACCTCATAGTTCTAGTTTGGCAATCGAGCTTTGCGAAAACATGAATAAAGCCAATCCATCCCTATAATTACATCAAATCGACCATCCCCAATTCAATGAGATCGGACATGGTATCCCGACCACGTACCATGAGAATACAACCCCTATAAACCTGTGTGGCCATAATAGACTCGCCAATTGGAGTAGATACAGAGAACGACTCATGAAGATATTACGGTTCTATACCAAATTCCATAGCAACATAAAGGGTAACATAGGACAAGGTGAAACCAGGATCAATAAGGGCATATATAGCATGAGATTGGATAGTCAATATACCTGTGACAATATCTTGAGAAGCCTCTCCACTCTGGCGACCACTTATAACATAGAAACGGCTGGGTCCTCCTGAACTCTGTGCACCACCCCTAGCTGCACCACGCCTTGCTGGTGCTGGAGTGCCTCGAGTTGGAGGGTGTGCTGAAGATGTAGCAGCTGCAGAACTAGATGGCTTTGTTGTGCCCATGCCCATGCCCTGGAGGGATAAACAACACTACCTCTGAATATGACCCCTCATTCTGCATCTGTATAATACTGGTAGGTCCATGTAGCATATTCCCAAATGCATACTCCCACACTTGGGGCATGAGGGCCTCCGCTACTGCTAGAATCTCCCTCTTGATCGGCCTTACTGGTAGGGGCCCCTACTGCCCTGGTTGTACATAAAACGACTCCCCTATTGCTGATTGTGCCATGCTGGCATGGCACTGGCTAAAGACTGAGATGGACCTGACAACCCTCCCCTAAAGGTTGATCTCCCCTCACCAAATGAATCTCCAGGATTGCCCGCGGATCGGGCCTTACTACTACCCTCTCTCTCCATCCTGTTATTCAACATACGCGTCTCTATAGCTTGAGAAAACCCCACCATCTTTCCATAGTTCATATAAGATTTTAAGGCAGTCGTGGTAGCCTCATTAATAACCAAAGGGCTAAGGCCTGTATAAACCGATGCACTTAGGCCACCATAGTGGGCATCATGTGAATACCATATTTTGATAGGCACGCGAACTCCATGTGATACTCTCACACATTCCTTCCATTAGCCTATCTCGGCACCACGATGTTCCGAGTTTCTAGGTAAAATTTTACGGAGCCTTACATCAACTCAGGCCCATGTGCCTGGATTCCGAAAATATTCGATGATAAATGTTACCCATGGCATAACAAACTCAATTATATAACTTATACCCATTTTTATAATCAATTTCATGGTTAAATCCTATTTTTACCAAATTCTAGGTTCTTCAACAAAATCTAAAAATTCTACTAATTTCCTTATTAAAATCTACACCTAACCCATGTATTTAACTCACAATAGGTAGAAATCACTAAACTTATGATACTTGATTAAAGCACCTACAAAAATCTCGAAAACCGCCCAAGCCAAGAGAAAATGGGGTGAAATGAGCCTAAGTCCCGTATTAAAACTTGCATTCTGCCCAAGTATTACCCTTCGCAATCGCAGATCAAAGCATAGCGATCGTGAAGCACAAACATTCTTCTTCCCTAGAATTCCCCTTCACGAACGCCGCAAAGGCCCTCGCGAATGCGAAGGCTTATCGGACTAGACCCATGCGGACATGAGCTTCCAATTGCAAATGTGTAGGCTTCACTGTAGCCCTCCCACCCAGAATTTCCTCAAAATATACCGACAAGTCCATAAATATAATCCGGACCTACTCAAAGTCTTGGAATACATAAAATAACATCGAAACCAAGAATTACACCTTAAAACCAAATTAATCAACTTCTAAACTTCAAATTTCTTCCAACTAACTCAGAACACGACGAATCATACTTAGACAACTTGGAATGACACCAAATTTAACATACAAGTCCAATATGACATTATGAACATTATCCCATGCTCGGAATGCAAAACGAGATCCAATAACCCCAAAATCTACTTAGAGTCAAACTTAGAAAACTCTAAAACCTTCAAAATACCAATTTCCGACAATAAACGCCAAAACTCTCCCTGTCCATCGAAACTTGATCTGATATACGCCCAAGTCCAGAATCATCATACGAGCCTATTCAAATCCTAATTCCAAGGTCGTTTACTCGAAATATTGACTCTAGTCAAACTTGGCCACCTTAGGCCACTATTATGGAACTAAGTATTCCAAATTCAACCAGAACCCTTCCAAAACCACACCAATCATCTCCAAAAGTCACAAAATAGGATAAACATATACGGGAAGTCTTAAATAGGAAAACAAGGATTTAGAAAATAAAATAACAGGTCGGATCGTTAAATTCTCCACCTCTTAAACAAAAGTTCATCCTCAAATAGGTTTAGAATCATACCTAAAGTGCCGAATAAGTATGGATATCTACTCAGCATGTCCTCCTCAGCCTCCCAAGTCTCCTCCTCGACTGGTTGGCTCCTCCACTAGACCTTCATCACTACAATCTCCTTGGACCTCAACTTGTGAACTTGCCTGTCAATCATCGCAACTAGTACCTCCTCGTAACTCAAGATCTCATCCATGTGAACTTTGCTATAAACCAAAACATGGGACCTGTCAGCATGGTACCTCCGGAGCATAGACACATGGAATATCGGATGAACTCTCGATTGGCTAGAAGGAAAAACAAGCTTGTATGCAACCTCGCCAACACTCTCCAAAACCTCGAATGAACTGATGAACCTCGGACTTAACTTGCCTCTCCTTCTAAACCTCATGATACCCTTCACCGGCGAGACTTTCAATAGTACCTTATCGCCCACCATAAATAAAAAATCACATGCTTTCTGATCTACATAACTCTTTTTCCTGGACTGTTTTGTACTAATCCGCTCCTGAATCAACTTTACATTATCCAATGCATCCTTTACCAAATTAGTACCATATAACCTAGCCTCACTGGGCTCAAACCAACCGATGAGGGAATGACATCATCGACCATGCAAGGCATCTCAATGCTGGACAGGTAGCTGTTCTTATAAGAAAACTCGATCAATGGTAAGAACCGATGCCACTGCCCTCCTAACTCAATAACACATGATCTGAGCATATACTCCAGAATTTGAACTGCCCGCTTTGACTGCCCATTGGTTTTGTCACGACCCAAACCGATGGGTCGCGATGAGCACCCGGTACCTTACTCAACCGAGTACCAACATGACGTATCTTTTCATATCATACTATCATAAATAACTGAGCCGGAGAGGCTTCTGTGAAATAGGTAGAATACAACGGGTAATGCCAACTTATACATAAAACATATTGGCCTTTAAGATCAAAATAAACACTTGAACACTGAACATAGGCTAACAAGGCCATACAATCTTTTACATACATGACATTTGTCTACAAGACTCTAAGAATACATAATTTTTATGAAGGTCGGGACAGAGTTCTACCATACCAAATAATACACATCTAACTCATACTAACCAAACAAGCAACTCCGAAGCAAATGGAGCACACCAATATCTTCTGCTAAGCTGATAGCCTACTTTAAGGGTTCTCGACCTATCTATCGGGACCTGTGGGCAAGAAACACAGCGTCCCCAGACAAAAAGGGATGTCATTACGAATAATGTACTGAGTATGTAAGGCACATAAATAAGTACATAATAGACATGGAGTAAATATAGAGTAAATGACTATACATGTAAGTCTGAATAACTTTGTAAATCATGAAATAATTATAGTATCATGCATATGCGTATGCATGTCATGTCATGCATAGATACATGTTTCATAATATCATCAGCCTTTGAGGGCATCCCATCATATCATTTTGGCCACTATGGGCAAAATCATCAACGTATACCAGCAAAATCATCAACGTATACCAGCTGATCATCAACGTATAACATCATCTGGTCACGGGTCAATGTACATATATAAATGCATGAAATGCATAAGAATACATTAATAAGATTTTCTCGGAATGCCATAAAAATCCGTATCCCTTTCGGATAAACTTTATCAAATACGTATTTTTTTTAGACCCATGAACAGAAGATATAATCATAATCCACATGGGGAAATCAAGAATATAGATACCCGTAGTATTTTTATGAATAGGGTCATTTATGGAAATTGTGTATTTGCTCGTTTCGTTCATGTCATATAGATCATACCAAAAAGAGAGAAGGGGTAGCCTTAACATACCTGGAGTAGGGAAAAATCCGTGTAATATTCTTGGAAAAGATTACACCGTACTCCCTTAGAATCGAAAAATCATGTTGCTGTAATAATATGGAGTGACTATCGTCCTTGGCTATGTATTTTGTATACTTCATTTGCCGAATGAACTTTGAAATTCCTTCAAAATAAGCGTTCTTGAATTGGGATTTTTTGTAACCCACTTAGCAAATGAATTTTTGAAATTCATTTACGATAAGAGTTCTGAAAATTGGGATTTTGTGTAACCCACTTAGCAAATGAATTCTTGAAATTCATTCAAAATAAGAGTTTTTGAATTGGGATAAGTATTTTTTGTTATTATTTCAAGACAATTGTATGAATAGTATTAAGTCTTATATTTCCATGTGTTATCTTAATGGATTGCCCAAAGATGAGTCATATCCAAACCTTCTCTACTTGCTGCCACATGGGGAGGCTTTGTCCCCACCTACTATTATCCACAAATTCTGAATTACATGGTTAATCTCTCATTATATAAATAATTAATCAATTATCCACGTAATTAAGAATTATCTCAAATGACTTAAAATACTACTTATTTTTAAACACCTTATACATCATACTATTATGGCCATGTGGTACCTTGTACGGTACTAGTCCATAAATATCGGGTATTAACGCTCAGCCCGAATTTTATCCCAATATTCTAAACTTGGATGAAAATTTATTTTCTTTGACTTGCTTCCCCCTTCACCTTCACGAATTTACTCATCACTTGTGAAATAGCATAATCCTTATAATCTCCAAATAATCTTGTACTTGGACTTATGTCAATTACCTTACGACAAATTCAATGTACAATACTACAGGGTGCAACATCGTCGTAACTTAATACTGTGGAGTGTAACATCACCATAATGTAATACTGCAAGGCGTAACATCATCGTAATATAATACTGCAGGACGCAACATCATCGTAATATAGTAGGGTGTAACATCATTCCCCCCTTTGGAACATTCGTCCTCGAATGTTGACTGATGCTCTTATTGTTTTCATAACTTATAGCTCTTGCAAATACCTTAATGCTCTCTTTTCCATTTAAGCAGTTGCACTATGAATAAATCGAAAGTCTAGGGTATTCCCCCCTTTAGTCTTTTTGCTCATACCATGACTTGTGGTCGAAATCTTTCTAATCTCGCAACTACTGCTATCTCCTGTCATGCAGCCTGTATGACCCTGGCTTTGTAAGTGCGCTTATGCGATTCATCTTTCCTTTTTCCTTTTAGCTTTTTGTCAATCTCTTGTCCTTATTTTGTAAACATACACAAGGCTTAATAGGATGCCTCTCTGGGCATCTATAGGTGCACTGAAGTTTTTTGCTCGATACTTTGTAGAACTTGCAAATATGGCCATATCTTATTTCATAGATCTGGTTAGCCATTTGTATGACTTTACTACATTTACATGGCTTATACTATACCGGAACAATTACTTCGATTTATCGTTGCTAAGGTTTGCTCCCAAATTCCAGTTTACTCTCATTGTTTATCCTATGTATAAGTCTAAGTCCTTTAATGCTTTCTCATTACTGTTCATCTTAAGAATGACGCCCTAATCTCATCTCATACTTTAAGACTTTTATCCATCCATTATTGATTCACCTCAATATTGATCTACACTCTACCACTGATAATTTGAAACCTCTTATGTAATCATCTGGGCTCACGTTGTATCGAGGAACATTTGAAGTGATTTCCACAATCGTATTTCATAGTATCTCGATGTGATTTACCTTATGGGGGTATTCTGATCTCGTGCCGTCCGTGAAATCTTTTCTCCTTCTCCTTTTTTTCTTCAAATAATTATTCAATTGAAGACCCACACGTTAGCTTCTATATGTCACAATTACACTTTCATTTCACTACTAGGGAAGCATTCCATCTCTTCTAAATGCTACTAGTCTTAGACTCTTTTGAGTTCATTCAGGCTATACTGAGCCTTCTTATAACTTAGAGAATCCATCAGCTCTCTTATTTCCATGGTCTTAATCTTGAAACTTATTCATTCTCGTCACCTTTTCACTCACCCTTTATTATTCTTACTCATGTCTTCCTAAAACCTTGTCGCTCTATCATACTTTAGCTTGCGACCTACATATATCCATTTATACTGCTCGCAACCTTGGTTCATCATAGATTTTCTTTTATTATTCTGGAACATCAAGCGAGACATTTCATCGTCTCTAACTCTTCTTTACTTTCTTGTCTAGATCTCTCGGTACCTAGAAACCATAGGCTGGAAAATATACTATTGACAATGTTGCTATCATTTCTGGATACTAATCCCTACACTTCTAGCCTTTTATCCGAAGTATGGACTATTCACGATCTTCTGCCTTTGAGTATCTCGTATGTTGTTCACCTCTACCTTACTTACCTTAAAATCTCGCATCGTATCTTCTATATCTTTCATGACCTCCCTTCCACCTAGGTGTAATTCACGTCCATAACTTGAAGCTCTATTATAATACTTGCTCCTCTGGTACATACACAATCCGGTGGGAGCTTCGTACTGACTTCTTATGAGGCTGATACTTCTTCTAACTGGCTTCCTTATAGAGCCATTATAGATTATGGTTGTTGTGTTATTTCTCTTGAACATCTGATATTAAGAGTGATTCTGCCATGTTCGCAAGCACAAATTCTATAATTTTCTAGGTCCAATAATCAGACTCTTGATTTACTTGGGTGATGTAATTCTTTAGTTTCCTCTTCCTTCTGATCAGCCTTTATGTGGGCTTAAGCTATCTTCCAATCTGTGGCTCATGGTATTAGTTATTACCTTAGCCTTTCATGGGCGTTATGGAATATCCATGATACAATCTTCTAACAATTCAATCCTTTATCTATGCCCTAGGCTCAATTCTTTCTTTTAACTTATACCAGAGTTTTCTATGGCTGTATGATTATCAAAATATATGCTGCATGGATAATTCTCCAAAATCTTGAGTGTATCCATAACATACTAACTCTAGATCATTGATCAAATAATTCCTTTCATTTTATCTCAACTTTGTTTAAACGTATGCAATTACTTTTCCTGGTCTTTCTGCCCCTTGCTGTGTGCATACTTAACATATCCTAGTTCCCACACATGCCAGAATTTTTGTGCAACTCATATAGCCTTGAATATTACCTTCGATCTTTCTCCCCATTCATTAGCCACGGTAGGTGCCACTTTCTTTTGGAGGGCATACAATTTTTGTTGTGAGACTGCTTTTACATGACCATTTCTCCTTCAAGTTACTATGTTTAGGTTGAAGCCTTCTTACTTATTTCCTCAGCTAATCTTCCATTGTAGTACTTAGGGAGGACACTCTGATTCTTGTAAAGTTGTGGGCTTATTACATTGTATACTTGACGGACCTCCTGATGTCCTTCCTTGCCTATACTTATCCGTAGTTACTTACCTCCATGCCCTGGAGCTTGTGGGGTTGCTTCTGAAATGATATTTTGACTGTCTTCATAGTGGCACTCTCTTTTATTTCCATAGCACTCGTATGATACCTTTTTAATTTCCCCATATGAATATATCTCAAGTATTATAATATCATATTGTGAGGCTGAATTC